TCTCAAAGAGAAAAATGGATGTAATGTGGCTGGCTGTATCATTCATTGTTTATAAACCTAATCTATATCCTAGCTACTCAATTAAAAAATCTGATGCAATTTTCAACAATAGAATCTTAGTGTAACATGAAAATTTCATAGTAATAGGGAAAAATGAGGGTAAAAATGCTGTAATGAACTTAGTTATTACAAATGTACATATAAGGTTCTGCATATATAGCAAATGTAGATTATATTAGCAAAGGCTTAGATGTTTCAAGATATAGTTTCCAATATTAAGTAAGTATTACATCAAACTCTTATTATTAGGAATTAATGTTGCAGCCAGGCTTGGTGGCATACGCTTGTAATCCCAGGACTTGGGAGGCCAAGGCAGGAGAAATGCTGTTAGTTCAAGGTCAGCCTGGACTTGATAGTGAGACCCTGTCTCAAGAACAAAAAAACAAAACAAACCCTAAAAACAAAAACATTAATGTTGCACTTTGTCAAAAAAGTTTTTAGGACCAGGAAATAGGATTATAATCACCCTACTCAAACTCAGTGTTGGATGCTTGTAATAAACTAATTACTATGCTTGGTCATAATGTATTGTATTATGTGCTGCCAGAGTTTGCTTGTGAACTTTTTGGATTTGGAGTCTATGATGCTGCTTTAAAATTTTTTTTGAGCAATTTCTTCCTTTATAATATATCCTTTGACCCTGTAGAACACATAGACTTTCAAGAAATCATCATCATTGTGAACATTCTGTGTTAGCACCGTTATAAGTTAGTTTAATCATCATTAGTTTATTTTCCATTTTGTAGGTGAGGAAACTTAGGTATGGGTTAAGTGCAGTGCCTTGTACTAATAATATCTGAGTAGAATTTAATCCTGGACTCCAGGTCTATGCTTGTAAGTCTAGAAATTTAGGACATGAATACATGTTGTTAAAATGATGGCAGGGTAAATTTTTTCATTTTAAAAGTTTCCTACATAATTTTAATAGGCTCATCCTGGATTGGTTTATTATATGAACCTTTGCATGGCAGGAATAAGCACCACCACAGTGACAGCATTGTGAAAGCAGTGCTCCCTAAAACACAGGTGATGCCTAGAGGGAAAAGATCCAAAATATGAGATTTGGGATTTATCAACAGAGCAATTATAGGAGGATTATTTGCTTTTCTAAAAAATCCAGTAATTTCTGAACAACATCAATATTTGATTTTCTTTAGCAGTATACCATCTTGTCTTCTAACATAGGACATTTAAAAGATTAAGTAAATTAAATTTAACTAGTTGTCAACCTTGTACAACCTTAGCTATTAAGTATGAAAGCTTAAGGTAACTGCATTCTACACAAATTTTCTTAAATTGACATTTTAAATTACGTACTTCTAAATGAAGTTGTAGTAGATTTTGGTAGAATTGCTGATAAGACTACAATGTATATATATTTTAGGCTGCTACAAATCCACAAAGAGTTTCATAATGTAAAACAGAAATAGAAGTCTTGTTTTTTAGTTGTCTTATTTTTCCATGTCTGTGTTCCCAATAGAGTAAAAGATTGCTGAAATACAAACTTGTTGATAGTATTTAGTGAGTATTTAGCGAGCAATGAGAGCCAACACATGTGCCCATGCTCTGGCATCTGTTGCAATTTGCAATTAATGGCAACAGCCTATGCTTTATCAAAAGTGACTGTGAATGTAACAAAGTTATGTTAAATTGCTCATATAACCATATGCCCTAGATGACAGCACTATCTTTGACTTCTTTGTTTGCAGTTCTAATTTCAAATCTTTTTAAAAAGTACTTGGACATAATTGTACCAATCTATATTAAGGAAGGAATTAAACGGTTAGCTGTACGAGACACTCCACCAAAATAAGAATAATTTAGGAAAACAAGGGGTTTACCCTTTGTTTTCTAGAAGGAATTCCTGGGGCATATTAAAAGGGAAGTTTGGAGATTAATTAAGATATTTGTATCTTAGTTTCAAGGTTAAGTATAAAGTAAAAATGGAGAGCCCTTGTTTCAAAATAAGGGAAAATTTATCATTAAAGACATTAACATTTAAACCTTTACCCTTGCTTTCAAGGTCTCATCCATTAACTTGCCATAGTGCTAGTTGCTATTTAATGTCATTTTTAAATAAAGAAAAATTAAAATTTAAAATTATACAGAAATCTACCAAAATTCTATCAGAATCTACTATTACTTCATTTAATGGTCCATAATTACTCTAATGTGAAATAAATAGGACACACACTTGTAAATACCAAATATTTTCTCTGGTGTGAAAAGCTAAGTGTAAATAAGGTTCAAACTGTGTAATTGATATTGTGAAATAGGAAGAAAAGGGCTAAAGGAGTAGGGGAAATGGGAAAGGTAGAGAAAAGGAAAGAAGGGAAAGGAATAAATACAAGAAAAGGAAAAAATGGAAACAAAGTCCTTGTAAACAGGGCAGGGTGGAGAGAGTGAAAGGAGGACCAGGGGTGTTGGGAAAAAATAAGAACCAAGATACATCATGAAATAGTACAAGATCCCAATGATGAATGTAACTGTACTATATACCTAAAAAGTATCAATAAATTTAATGAAAAAAGTCAATTTAACAAAATTTGTGTACAAGTTTTCATACCTAATCGCTAAGCACAAAGTTTACCTCCTTGGAGATACCTCAGAGAGCTGGTACTAGAGGTTCCAGTAGACCCAGCCATCCCTCTGCTGGGTATCTTTCCAAAAGAATTAAAAGAATCATATTACAGAGATATATGCTCACCTATGTTTACAGTGGTACAATTTGTAATAGCTAAAACTTGGAAACAGCCTATTTGCCCATCAGTTGGAAACTGGATAAAGAAGATGTGGTTTTTCTATAAAATATAATATTACTCAGCCATAAAGAATGAGAAATTAGATTCATTCAGAGGAAAATGGATACATATTGAGGATATACTGCTAAGTGAAATAAATAACTCGCACGTGTAAATACCAAATAGTTTCTCTGGTGTGAATAAACTATAATAGTACATAGATCCTAATGATATAATGGGCAATGTGAAATAGGAAGAAAAGGGCTAAAAGTGTAGGGGAAATGGGAATGGGAGGGGAGAGGAAATAAGGGAAAAGAAAAAATATGAGAAAATGGAAAAATGGAAATAAAGTATTTGTATATAGGGAAGGGAGGAGGGGGTGAAGGGAGGGACAGGAATCCTTGGCTGTCCCTGTATCTTCAAACACTATCGCCTTTCTGTGAAGTGTAGTCTGTCAGAGGTCTTAGCGTACACCCCCAACTGCTTACGCAGTGGCAGATGTGACATGCTTGATTTTATCTTGCTAAGCTCTTGCATAGTCTGGGCCTTGATAAAAACTATGATAATGGAGCACATGGAATGCTATGTGAATAAGGAGGAAAATAACCTACAAAAAGTGTATTGTTCCCTTTTCCTCTGCTCACATCCATGCTCCATGATCCCATCATTCTTCTCTTTCAAAACACAATTTCAAAGATAGAAGTATTAAGTATTTCAAGATGGTGACAACAAGGCATTAAGCCAAGAATGGGGGACCTGCATCTTAAACGTCTGTAAAAATAACTCTACCTCAGTAATGTCACCATTACAAATTGGAGTAATAGTAATGTTCCAGGTAGAATTGCCATAGGAGAAATTAGGCTATAAATATCAACTTCTAAACACTGTCTGGCATATAGAAATCACTCACGACATGGTAGTTTGCTAATACCTATGTTGCTCTCTATTCCCAATAAAAATAAACAGTGATTATTGCCCTACTAAGGAATCTCTTAGTTTGATTCGAGTCAATAATTCCTTATATAAGCTCCTGTGATATATATTTTCAAACACATAAGATTCTTGAATGGAATGAAGGGTCCTTATTTGTGTAGTAATCATGAGACAACTCTACAATGCACGGGGAAAGGCCATGCGGTGAGTTCCAGAGTTTCCTCGGTGACTTCATTGGTAATCACTGTGGCAGGTTATACTAAATGTTCTGTGAGCCACGTCTAGAAAAAGATAAAGGCACATGTCTTAAAGGCAGTTTCATTGCCAGGTTGTCTCCATCTGAAAGTGAAGTAAGTTGTGTAAAGTTTTGTAAAGAAAGCTCTGTTCCAAGCTCATGGAAGGAAAATATTTAAACCCAGAAGGAAAACAATATGAAGGTGTGAATGAGGTCTGCCTGAAAAGATAGAGGTGAATTGCTTGACTGCAGCACTCAAATAAAATTTGGTGTAGAATAAACTGCAGAGTACAAAGCTTCCAAAGAAATATTGTGGATAATACTCATGAATCAGTAATCCAGCAGAGCTGCTGATAGGTGTTATTTTCTGTCCTAAATATTTTTGCTTTGTTCACATATGTTTAAGCAATGATTCATCTTGGAAACATCAACTTTTAAAAAAAGATTTGATAAATTATTAGTTCCTTATTAAATTAGCACATACTGATTATTTTAACAGTTTTATTACATTTAGACATTTTAAAAATATTCTTTATTAACTTATATTTTGTTGATACATATTTTAAAATGAGGTAAAACATCATAAATATTTATGTTCCCATGAAAATGAGCAATTTTGGATCATAGGACATATGAGACCCACATGTCTTATGTGAATCTTCCCTTCTCTAATTTTGGGATATCGGGTTACCTCTCTGTGAGGAGAAGGCTGAGTGAGCATAATCTGATTTAAGAAAAAAATCTAACAGAAAAATATTGATGGAAATGTGGCATAAAAATCTGTCTAGCATAATGCTTTCCAACACCTTCCCACTTAGCTTTGAGAATCTGGATTTCATTTTCAATTTTGAAATGTAATAGACTTCTCAGGAAATATTAACTTTGTGCATTCCTGGAGCTTTCATTCACTGGTCCTGTGGGTATGGAGGGTAACTGACCCCAGGAAATGCTGAGTCAGGGCACGGGCATGCTGCTTCCAATGCTTGTTCTGAAAGGATTTTACTAATAAATTATGTTTTTATTATTTCCAGATGCAGAGCCAAAGTATCTGATAGTTGTACGACCTGTTCCCCCTCCAAGTCAAAAGAAGTCATGTTCAGGTATAGTTTTCATTGATTTTAAAAGTAATTTAAACCATGACCTTTAATCTTCTTTCTACTTGTGGAGACAAAATGCTGCAGAGATGCCTTGGGAATACAACACGTAGATGGATCTAAGCCCTCAGTTGACACTTTGCCTTCTGGAGAAGCCACACAGCCTAGTGTTAGAGTTGTGTGTGGTTCTGCTGGAACCACCCCTTGCCAACATCAGGGACTTAGGCAAGTGATCAACCTTTCTACGCCTGCTTCTGCTGTGTAATAGGGCCGCTGTGTGGGTTAAATGAGTTAAGGATAGCTCCGGGCCTGTGGTCAGCGCTCATCCAGGGTTGGCTCCTGATAGGTGTTGCTATTTTGTAATGTGTGAGCTCTTCTTTACCACTGCGCTTTCTACATTTTGAGGACAAAGTTTTATATCTAACCTTTGTTTATGGAGACTGTTTACATTTCAAAATACCTCATTCATATATGCTAAAGAGTGGAATTTAGATTTTATGTACTCCTTGTCTTTTCCTTCTAAACCTGTCTATAGTGAAGAAAATGTGCTATGTCTACACAATAGAGGACCACTCTGCCATAAAGAATAATAAAGTGGAGTCATTTGTAGAAAAATGGATACTGTTAGGTGAAATGTATCAGACACACAAGCTTAAATATTTCCTGGTTTGTCTTATATAAGAAACCCAAAAATAAATAAAGAGCAAAATAAAACATAATAGGAAATAGGGAGATAGATCTTTTTAAAATGGGAAGGGGATCAAGAGATGGAGAGAGAGGATGTGGAGAGGGAAAGGGGATGAAAATTAAAATAGGTTATGTGTATGTTTCACCTCCCCACAAAGAATGGAATTATTATGTAATGCAAACATATATTAATAAAAGATAAAAACTGAAGAAAAAAGAGGAAGGACTCCTTTCATAAAATATTAATACCCATTTTTCCAGTACTAGAATAGCTGGATACAGAGAAGAAGGTACCATATAAATAAAGGTGTGGGGGAAGTGGAAAGGGTAGGGGAAAGGAAATAAGGGAAAAGAAAAAATTGAAGAGGAAAAAATGGACATGAAGTCTTGGTAAATAGGGAAGGAGGTGAATGGAGGGCAGGAGTTTGGGGAAAAAATGAGAACCAAGACCTGTCATGTAAAGGTACAAGATCCCAATGATAAATGTAACTGTACTGTATCCTTAAAAAATACCACTAGCCGGGCATGGTGGCACACGCCTGTAATCCCAGCACTTGGGAGGCTGAGGTAGGAGGGTCGCTGTGATTTCAAGACCAGCCTGAGCTACACAGTTAGTTCCAGGTCAGTCTTAACTTAATGTGAAATCCTGTCTCAAAAAAAAAAAAAAAGTACCAATAAACTCAATGAGAAAAATAAGTGTAGAAACTTTCCATATGCATAAAGGAAAATTAAAAGCCTATAAGGTGTACTTTATCTACTGACCTCTCAGATCATGTAAGCTAAGGAAAAAAAAAATGGTAAAGACTATGCTTTTTCTATCTGGTGTGACATTTTCCTATCTCTGTAGATAGAATTGACCAGAATTTTGCTTTGAATTTTCTTTTTCAAATGTGAATAGTTCTCCAAATGATTAATCCCTAGTCATGTTCATCTTTTATGGAACACTGGATACTATATAGAAGAGGATCTTTTTTTGTTTGCTTGCTGTATTTTTCTATAGAGATAAAATGGGAGGAAGAGGATTTGGCTGTTCAATGATACTGAATAGAGGGTCTTTTCCAGTTCTATTCAATCTGCTACATATATCAGCCCAAGGCCAGAAATCAGTTGTCACAATTATCCTTCCTCATTTTTTCTTGATTTATGCTTCTTTTAAGAGCAGAACTGAAAAATGAAGTTCTTTTTACTTACCTCAAAGTTAACAGGAAATTTCAATACTTTGTCAGTCAGAGTTTTCCAGAAAGCTTTCTACATACTTTAAAATAATTGTATTCCTAATATTTCAAGACTATATTTATTATAATATGTTGAACAGAAGAGTCAAAGAGCATGAGTTTAGTTTCTTGGAATCTGATTTCATATGAATATTCATTAAACTGTTTCTTGATACAAATATCAAAATACAAATGAAGAAAAACGTATAGGAAAGTCAAGAAAGTATTGCATCGTATTAGAACTTTTAAAATGCATTTCATTTTAAGGCCTCTGTAACACTGTCATAGATTATTTTTCACTTCATTATGACTAGCTCAGGAAATTGCTTCATCTTATTCAGGATGTGATACCCCACCTTTCCTTTCAGGCAATGGATATATTTTTTGTTTATGTAATTTATATTTGGGAGTGATGCTATGACTAAATTATAAAGTTTGTTAATTTTATATTCGCATCTGCTACATAAATTCTAATTATTTAATCATTTTGATATAAAGACCAAAAGCTTCATGAAAATGATTTGATAGTCATACAAGCATTAGGTTATATTAGAGAAAGCTAGGAAAATATATCTTTTATTTCTAATTAGTATTATCTTCATACACTCTGAGCTCAGCCAGAAATGTATTAAAATGAACTAGAAAACAATTGAGAAGACCTATATCCAACTTTTACTTTGCTTTCATTGTGATTTTTGGATACTTTCCTTGTCTTTATTTTTCACTTGAAAAATGAAATTTTTTTATTATAGCAGAGAAAACCAATTTAGACATAGAAAAAATAATATGAAAATCCTCTCAGGGATTTTTCAAACTATATGTGTTCCCTACTTTCAATCCAGATTCTCACCTGCCCTCTCAGAGTTCAGATATGGGCCATTCAAATAACATTATACAAGGCACAATTACAGGTAGGTCAGGAAAAATTTACAGAGAAGGCTAACTGCATGTTTGTAGCCAAATAAATGATGACTATGCTAGTAAATTATTGCAAATATATTTGAAAAGTTAATTATTCATAAATAAGAAAAAGAATTTCTAATTTTCTATTGCACTATATGTGTGACTATACCTGACTATATGTGTTAGTTATCTTTCTGTTATTATAACAAATACCTATGATAGTAAACTTATCAAAAAAGTTTCTTTTGGTTCAGAATTCTAATGGTTTAATTCTATGCTTAGTTGGTCCCATTGCTTATGGTTGTGAAGACATCTCATGGTGGGAATGCTTGGCAGAGAAGAACCTACTCATGGCCAAATTACAAAAAGGGAGAAAGAAGAAGGGACTGGAGTCCCATAATCCCCTTGGGGTCATTGTCTCCCATAATTTAAGACCCTCCCACCAGCTTCTACTTCTTAAAGATTCTACAAAATCCTAACAGTGCCATAGATTGAGGGCCAAGTCTTTAACACGTTGAACATTTGGAGACATTTATTCAAACCATAGTATCCTAGATAACAACATGTTTATTTAAAAAGAAAGCTAGGAGATTTTAAGTAAAGTATAACATTTTAAGTGTAAGGATAGGTTTGTCCTAAGTTGAACACTATATGATGTATATAAGTATTGAAATATTATGGACATCATATAAATATATACAACTTTTATGTATATCAGTTGAAAAATAAAGAAATCAACTACTTTATAATCAGACAGCTGGCTATCACAAGATTGTGTGAAAGCTAGGAGATTTTAAGTAAAGTATAACATTTTAAGTGTAAGGATAGGTTTGTCCTAAGTTGAACACTATATGATGTATATAAGTATTGAAATATTATGGACATCATATAAATATATACAACTTTTATGTATATCAGTTGAAAAATAAAGAAATCAACTACTTTATAATCAGACAGCTGGCTATCACAAGATTGTGTGTGT